GTTTCAAAACACTGGCATTCCATGTGAGAAGGGGAGGGAAAAAGAAAAAGAAAACAAGAGGAAGGCAGACAACCACAAATATCAAATTCAGAGTGGGCTGAAGACAGACTGTAGCACTCTCCTCAGGCACATCAGCTGCACACAGATGGAATCCACCCCATCTGCTGTACTCCTCGGTATCCCGAGTAATATCTGAAAGAAAAACTAGGAAGCGGAGATATAAAATAGATCCAGTACACTAAAAAGCTTATTTTCAAAAGCAGTTTCACATATTTCAGAGAACCAAAAGAGAAGTTCCTGCCACATCACTGTATTTGCTATTTCTCTTCTCCTCCTATCCAAACCAAGCTCAGTGGAAATGGACAATATGCAGCTCTGTTAATAGTCACAGTGACAGCATTTGCGCCTTAAGAACTTACTGATTGGAGTTGTGGTCATCGGCTGATAGACCAGCGAGGGAGAAGCACCCAGACACAAAGGAACCCATTGGAACGTGTATAACTGTAAGTCTCTAATTATCCTTTCTAATTTTGGAACCATGTGACTGGACTTCACACAGCACCGCTGACCCCCTGTCAGCCAGAGCGCTGTGTAGCTGGACCACACAGGGAGGGGATCCTACTCCTTGCCCTTTCATTAAAATACTGTGTTACGTTTGCAGGGTGAGCTCCTTCCTGGCTGACTTGTAGCTCCCAAGTCAGAGCACCTGGGAGAACTTAACTATTCCTGTCCAGATTTATTCCAGGATTTTAAGAGTCTTTTTTTTAACCTTATAAAGAGTGATTTACTTGATATCACAAAGGTATATAATACTTTTACATACAAATAGACAATTACTCAAAAAAAAAAAAAGTCTTTCCCAGCCCGATACTAGATTATTACAGATTTGGAAAATTTTCTTCTCTGACTTGAGTAGACAGAGTAACAGGGAAAAACACTGTCCCTCTGGCCACCAAAGTATGGCAAAGTCCAAGACAGGAAGGTGCTCCTGAGAGAGGGAACTGAGATTTGCTAGAATGCAACAACATCCTAATCATCTTTCCCGACCATGTCCACCTTTCTTTAAAGAAGCACTGAACCAGAGACTGTCATCTTGTGTTCTAAAGAAATCACTGTCAAATACCGCCAATGAAATATTCTTTAAGGACAAAACAAAGACACATATTGAAATAGAAAAGGATTTAAAAACACACCTAGGCAATACCAAAACAAATACATTTTTAATTTTAAGACATTTGGTCCTGTTCTATCATGAAATTATTATCATTCATATAGATGATTTAAGGGTCCAACTCAGCATAGCTCAGTAAGAGGCTGACTGCCTGGGTTCAAGTCTGGGTGTGCCACTTACCACCTGTGTGACCCCGAGCAAATTATTAACCCCTCTGTGCTTCAGTTTCCTTGCCTGGAAAATTAGAACATTAATAGTTCTTTTCTTTCTCCTAGCTTATTATAATTAAGTACCATGTGTATACTAAATAAATACAACTAGGAACTACATATGATATAAAATTATGTTTAGAGACTAAAGTGATCTTATAATATTTTCTGCAAGCTGACAACTAACATTTTATACATGAAAATCAATACTTAATTTCCTTGGTTCCTGTCTACTGAATATCAAAGCAGCATTATCAGGGGAGAACTCACTAGACCTGACCCCTTTCCTTTTGTGCCTTCCGCAGAGCTCACTTTATCCAATATGATCAGACCCCCGGTCCACTACCAAGGAAACGGGAGAGTTCAGTAAACACAGATGGAATGCTGGGAATGTGCACTTGTTTTATTTATCATTTTTCTTTTGTAAATATCATACTTCTTAATAAAATTGGAAAATATTTTTTTTTTCCTTGAATTCTAACACTTTGGCCCTCAGTGCTTGGCTAAGGGACAGGCTCAATACCACTGTGTCTGCTTCCTTACCTCTGCAAAGGGATGGTTTAATGCAGAAGAAATTTTAAAAGGCTGCTCATTGATTGCTTTAAAAATTTATGGGAAACATGTTTATTATTGACTTGGCAAATTTTCCCTCAAATTGAACACATATACCACCACCATCAATAACAACAACCAGCTTTACATTTAGAACTTGGTTTCTTGGAAACAAACCAACTCAGACTCCTGGCTCTGTAGATATATGGCATGAGAGAAATCAGATCAAAAAAAAGAATAATAGTATAAGAGGCCAAGTAGCCCAGAACAGTGAACAAATCTGGCCTAGGAGGCAGACAACTTGAATCCTAGTGCAGAATCTGTCACTAGAATGTCATGTGACTTTGGGTAATTCACCCCACCAAACTGGAATACAGATTCATTATAAAATAAAGTTATCCGAGATCCCCTTCAAGCAGTAAAATGTTATCGTTCTCCCACAACATTACACACAATACTAACACAATTCCTCTATGGTTGCAACTTCTTCAAACCACCAAAGAAGGCAGAGGGGTAAAGAAAAATACGAAAGTCTTCCAGTTCCTTTAAAATTTCTTAGGATCATTAAAACTGCCCTATTTTTTTTAACCCTAAATAGACACATATATCACAAAATAAAACTTTCTCCACCTATATAACCACTTGATATCTTATGCCGACTCAAAAAACACACAATAGGGGGGCCCATCAAACTGGTCTTTCCAAGTCCTTGGCAGTGCTCAGAGAAGGGTGGGATGGCCACCAGGCAGGCATCTTGCAGGGGGAGCACCAGAGCTGGGGAGAGGGCAGGCTGGCTTGTCTCCAAGATGCTCTTATTCAGTACCAGAATTTGGTCTTGGCAAGATCTCATGGTTTGACAATGCAGGTGACCCAGGTGAAACTTTATCTTGAGATGGCCTGAAGGATACCACTGTCTACATCTGAGATGCTAAAATACTATAACCTACTCCAGTACTCTCTCTTAACTACTTAACTCTGTCCATACTCATGACTGGCATCCTTGCAGGCCCAAATGGTGGCTACTTCCTGTCCTACATGCATGAGTAATGAAACTTTCAGCTGATTCCATTGCTAATGTTCTTGTCTTGTCATTTACATACCCACACTATGCGCTTGTACAGTAAAGCCTCAGCCCAAAACACTCAGTTCCCCGACTTATGTTTGGTCTGTAATATAAACAACTTCTATTCAACCAGAAAGTTGAGTTGGGATTTCAAAGAAATTAGCTGCATATCTGTCCTGTAGCATTTTATCATGATTTATAGTCTTCAGGGATGGTGAAGCAGGAGTACTAAAGTGGTGCCCTTCACTGAGGGACACTCCCTCACAGGGACACTCTCCTCTCAGAGGAACCTCCCCCTCAGGGGTACCCCCCCACCCCCAGAGAAACCCCTGATCTCAGAGACGCCCTCCCTCTCAGAAATAAAGGAAGTCTAAATGTGGACTTATTAGCCAACCAGTTCAGATTCACACATTTACTCAAGCTCATAGTTTGTAGCATGCACTGTGCTAGGTGTTTTAATCTATAGTAACCCTTCAAATTTCATGGCCACACCACACAGTGGATGTCATTAACCCCATTTTGCAAATACATAAAACAGGTTTCAGAGAAGTGGCTTGAATAAGTAATTCAGACCAAAGTCTTGGGCTTCTGACACCTTGTTCTTTTCATTATCTCACTGTGACCCAATAAGACAACCAATATCCACAATCCATTTCACATGGAAATGCACAGCTACAATGCTATAATGTGCCTGTCTCGAATTTGCTCATCCAATGAGCTATAAACCTATAAACTCCTTACAGAAAATGCTTAACACAGGGTAGACTGCTCAAAATCATAAGTTCATTGCAAACCTGTAATATGAATACTGACCTTTAACAAAAGCACTGATGTTATTTCATACAGCTTTAAAATGGACTATCACCATTTAACCTTCCCCCCACCACTACCTCCATATACACACAGAAAAATACAGGGTGTCCCAAAAGTCACCATCCATATGGAAAATTATAGCTAAATGTACCTTTATTTAAAATAAAGTGACTTTTGAGACACCCTGTACATCAAAACTAAATTTGTAAAATTGTTACAAAGTTCAGCATTCTCTGCCCACTGATGGAGGTGGTAAAAGACAGGTAGATGCCCTGAGGATAACAAGAAGAAATGAAATGCTGGATAATTCATAAATAGACAGGAAATCCCCAAATGACAGGTGTGGTGCATGTTACCCACATAATTTGTCATTTTATCTCCCAGATATACTAAAATTGTAACCTTGAGAGAGAAAATGAATACTTATGGCCTTGACCAAGGTATCAGCTCTCTTAAGCATCTGTATAACCAGATCCTTCTCCCATCACCTCAGGAACAGGAAGATGGCCACACAGAAGAGGACCCCTCAGAGCAAAGGGCTGGAAAAGACTTTGCTGACCATCTAATCCAGGGGTCCTCAAACTTTTTAAACAGCGGGCCAGTTCACTGTCCCTCAGACCATTGGAGGGCTGTTGGAGAGTGCGGCACACATTCCACACATGCGCACTGTAGGCCCAGGATAAGTCGGCTGCTAAGCAGGACAGGCAGCAGTGGCAAACACACCCAGCGGGCCGGATAAATGCAGTTTGAGGATGTCTGAATCCAACACCCTTGATTTACAATTATGGAATCTCTGGGCTAATCAAGCAACTTGCTCCAAGTCATCAACCAACATCAGTGCCAGACTAATGCCATGATCTCTGTGTTTTTTCCAGAGCACCATGTCACTGCCATCAAAGCTGCATCATCAGAGCTAATACCTAATCATGGCCCACAAATATTTTCTCAGTCTGCTATTTACATGTGGTAATCCAGGAAATCCCATAGAATGAAATGAGCATAGCTTGCCAATTTGGTAAACTAAGGTGTATCCTGTCTGCCCCTAAAACCCAAATTACTTTTCACTCACATCATTTGCTATGTCTACAGAAATTGGCCAAATGCTTTTAAAATATATTCCACACTCAGATTTCCCAAAGAGAGAATGCCACAAAAACTACCACCGTGAAATTAATGACTATGGGACTAGTACCTTCCCCAGAAAGCAATCTCCGGGGTGCCTCTCATGTAGATGGAGTCGCTGGGATCGTTCAGCCCGTTGGTGGCCCCGCTGGAATATCCCATCATTATTGCACCATCTGCTGAGACACTCAGGACATCCTGATGTCCTCCCCCTGATGGCCTCTCCAAGAACTGACCGCCTTCTTTAATGCGCTGTTGAATCATTGGAGTGAGGGGCATTTCGAAGCTAAAGTAGCTATCAGGCTCTGAGTACAATGTCTCCAACGACTCTGCACTGTAGTACAAAGAAGTGTTGTCCAGAATGGTTTCAAACTGGGAGCTGTACACATCAGTGGAGTCCTCCGTGTATCCAGGCCCAAGGGTATCGTCGTCTTCTCCCCTAAGGTGCTCCTCTTGCTCAACGATCCTGGAAAGTAAGTAAGTGCAGAACCTCAATATTAGGTTAACCTCTTCTTTTTATAGCTTCTCCTTCAACCACACAAAAAGGACAACATTCTGTAGACCTAACTTTTATATTCACTGAGCTTAATATCTTGGTATATTTGGGAAGAAAGAGATGAAACATACTTGGGTTGGAAAAATTCTTAGCATTATGTGTGGCTACTACACTATAAATAATTTAGGAGTTTCCAACTAGTTTCCTAGTGTGTGAATACATCTAGTCCAATGCATATTTGAATAAAATGTTAAATTCTCATTTTAGCCAACTATACTGTGCAAATTCAGATTATAAGAGAAGCAGATAAATATATCATTTAATTCAGTAAACTTGTAGTAAAAGTACACTAAACTTTAACTAGTCTATTAATACTTTCTGGTTTAAATAAGACCAAATGCCCTCAAGAGGATGACAACATCAGAATCCAAGGGCTGCCCTCTGCTGACAAGAAGGCAGCACTGCAAAGAGATTTCAAGTCCAAGATTACACAGCCAATGAATAATGTAAAAAAAAAAAAAGCAGCCAACACACATTTATTGCAAGGCTAACCGAATCCCATAAGCAACTAGAAACAACTTATGAGTTAATATATAAAGGTACAGCATGAATTTTGGCACACAAATGTGAAAATTAATATACAACATGTTCTTCAAATATTAAAAATGAACATTAGGTCTGGGCATGGTGACTCACACCTATAATCTCAGCACTTTGGGAGACTGAGGCAGGATGGTTGCTTGAGCTCCACTGAGTTTGAGACCAGCCTGGGCAACATAGTAAGACCCAAACTCTACAAAAAATTTAAAAAATTAGCTGGGTGTGGTGGTACACACCTGTAGCCCTAGCTACTCAGCAGGCTGAGGTGGGAGGATAGCTTAAGCCCAGTAATTTGAGGGCTGCAATGAGCTATGATCATGCCACTTTACTCCAGCCTGTGCAATAGAACAAGATTCAGTCTCTAAATTCTCTTAAAACAACTAGGATAATTAAGTAAAATTTAATAATTAGGAGATAGATCAGTAGTAAGAGCAAGAAGTCAAGAGTTAGAAAAAACTGGAGCTGAATTTTGCCTGTGCCAATTACTAGCCACGTCACTGGAGTAAACTTTACTTAACCCCTCTGAGCCTCTGATTCTTATACATACAAATAAAATAGAAATAGGAATTACCTATTAACTATGTCTTAAGTAATCCACATTCCTTGGTATTACCAGAATTCAACAATGCAGTTGTCTGTGTTGTTTTTAAATTAGTGAAGGTCCGCCATGTACCAAATGCTATGTTCCTAATGGCTTCCCACTGCACTTGGAATAAAAGAGTTGCTCCTGGATCATGCTACTCCCTGCCTCTCCTACCTCTCCACACTCTTTCACCCCACTCTCCCCTGCTTTCTAGGCACCAACCACAATAGTGAGGCTTCAACTCTTCAAACGTGATATAAAGCCTTTGCCTCACACAACTCCAGAAAGCTACACATTAGTCAGGGGACCCAGCATCCTCCTTTGAACACATTGTTCCCTCTGCCTGGAACATTCCTCCCTCTCATTCTCTGCTTGGCTAACTCCTATTCCTCAAGTCCCAGCTCAATTTCTATTTCCACAGAAAGGCCTTTACCAAACCATCAAACAAATTAATTAGCCTCTCCCCTCCATTCAAATGATTATTTCTAGTCTCTTCTGGGTACTTTTCCTTTGTGGAATCTAGCACGGTTTGTGATCCTATACTTACAAATGTGCTTATGTGATTAATGTTTCTATTCAGCAGTAACTTCCATGAGGACAGTGACCATGGACCTTATCTATTTTGAACATCCTTTTAATTCCCAACATCTCATGTGTCAAGGACATAGCAAAGAATCAAAAAATATTTGTGGAAAGAAAGGAAGGAAAGTAAGGAAGGAATGAAGGAGGAATTAATAATTCGAACAATAGTAAAAGTGCATATTCCAGGGGGAATATAAATACTGAGACATATGCCACATACCAAGGCTGCTTTTGAGGGACGTTTGCAGATGCAATGTGTTAGGGGAGGAGAATGGGGAGCGTCCTGAAAGTCATCCCAAAGGAGCAGCACTCTCAGTGGATTTGTTAATTGTAGAGGAAAAGGCATTTCCTTATAGTGAACAAAAACCAAAAAATAAACCCCTCAGCCTCAACACAGATGTTTTCCCATATAAATTATAAAATGTGGCATCATGAGGACTGACAGAAGAAAAGATGGTACAAATTCAAAGTACAGTACACAACAAATGACTCTGCTCAAAGGAGCACTGCGTGGTCAGACTGTGATCACAGGGGATGACGAAAGATGGGTCATGTCTTCATTTATCCAGGCTCTAAGCTGGTATGAATGTCAGAAATGCAGGGAAAGACCAGGAAATACTGTGCAATGCCAAGTTTACTTATTAGGGCCATAAATCAAAACATACGCTACTTGTAAGAATAAGAAATTCCCACGTGAATACCATGGAACAACTGAATTATAAAGTCTACTTCTGACCTTCTGAGATGTCCTTTCTAAACATGGAAGATTGAGAGGGCCCAAACCCAGAACCTGTGTTCACACACATATGGAGGCTGCATTCTTGGCTAGATTGCAGGCACTGGTATTGCACCCAGAATAAATGCCTAAGTTAGGATGTAATGACCATATAGGGTTTGTCAAAAGAGTCCAACCCTTTTTGGATTATTAAAGATAACTGTGGGGTGTTCTAGTTACCATGATGTTGAAAAACTTGAAACCTGTTAAATATAACAAAATGTCACAAATGGATTTGCATAGTTCAGTGGCCATAGATTCTTCTTCCCTGCTCCATGCCTAATGGAAACTTCTTAACAGGATCACTCTAGTATCTTAGTAACATAGAAGGCATCTTAGCTTAGAGGGACCTAGCTTCCAGTAATTTCTCTTACATTCTGTGATAAAGAGGACCCAGTGTATTGTGAGTTGAGTTCTCCTATCGAGTGCAGGATGATGGTTTTCTATTAAAATATGTACCAGGCATCACAGACAGCAGAGCTACACTCAGAACTCACCTTTCCTTGTTTCTCACTGGTTCTAGTTTCTTCTCAAGATGTTGTCTGTTTTCCTTCAGGAAGACCTCATCCTCTCCGCTCTCATCAAGATGCACAGGGGAAAATGTCCCTGAGCTAGTGCCGGGCCTCTCTGAAGGAGCTCTCCACGTTTCATCCCTAACACGCTCGGTTAAACTAGTTGAATTACACAAACCAGCAGATGAGATGAGATGGCTTGGCACTTTGGGAAACTCTTTGCTTTCAGGACAGGCTGTCCTTTCCAGCGATGTTTCAAACTCTACAGGATGCTGGGTCTCTCTCTTATCATCTCCTGTCCACAGTATCTCCACCCCTTGAAATTCCACATGTTTGACCCGGCCAGGGCGTCCCAGGGAGCTGCCTCGATCACATCTCTCTGGGTGTACTCTCCCAAGAGCAGACCTCTGCTCCTTCAAGAAACCAACACTGCCCACGGAGTTGTGGGTCACTGCCGGGCCCCCCAGCTCCTGCCCACAGACAGCCCCTTCGCTCCCATCCTTAGTTGTCCGGGAAAGGTCTGCCTGAGTGTCTCCAGTTAACAATGCAGTCAAATCCTTTTGGATGCTCAAATAAAAATCTTCCTCGGTCGTTACTTCAGCTGAAAGAGGTATATCTGGTGACTTTTCTTGGCCAGCAGGGAGTCGTTTGTTGGCTCTCTGTGTTTTATAACTGGCAGTGTCCAGCTCTTTTCCCACCTGCTGAACTGGAAAGCTAGAAACACCATCTTTGTCCAGTACCTTTGTAGCCTGTAATGTTCCTGAAGCTATTCTGGCTTCTGTGGCTTTCAGAGCCGAAATCAAAGAGTCAATGGGTTGTAAACTTTGTTCCTTGAGGTGACTTTGAGAGGGGGCCTCTCTGACATCTTTTGGTCCTTCGGTAACACTGTCGAGCCCAGAGTGGCGGCCACCAGGAAGCTGGACCCCGTGCTGCCCTTGTGGGTGGCATGGCAGAGCCTCCGCATCAAACTCCAGAGAAGTTCTTAGCCCTTCTCCGCCTTCCTCCATGGTCCCATATTCTGGAAATTCATTTGTGACATTTGGTGGGAGTAAAGTGCTTCCTCCATGATCACCTATGAATAGAACAGAATGGACACATAGTTTGTTTCGGAACAACGGGGTCCAGGATGTGTTAATGCATATTCACATATATTAGGCGATCAATGATACTTATCAACTGGATTCTTTCACTGTCTCCTCCCTCCTACCACCACGTAACTCATACTTCTCATAACCTTGCAGCTCTTTAGCCTAAATGAGTATAACCACAAAACCACATCAGGCGACAATATCATGACACATGCTGTATTTAACCCTACTTCTGATAAAGTCCCACATGCGAAGATTCAGTAACTCAGTTGCTTTATATGCAAAAAGAGATTTAAATAAGGATACCTTTCAAATACCACCCATAATATAGCAACTAAAATATTTACATTGGGCATAACACCAAATAGCCTTATGATCTAGCCAACACTATTTATGTTCCGCAATTTCTGAGACAGAGCCTCAGAAAAAAGTCATATTCTATTTAAAGTCAGTAACAATTTTTTTGGCTATAAGTCTCCCCTTCACTGTTGAATTTCTATGGGGGGAAATGCTTTCAAAGCATCCCCCCAAAATGAGAATGAAGTCAAAATGGAATATGAAACTTAATACGTTGAGAAAGATTTATAGGATCCCCACAGCATAAAATTTTCTTCCCATTTATTTTTCAACTGACAAATAAGGGTTATATATATATATATATCATACACACACACATATGTAGTATACAACATGATGATTAATATATGTATACACTGTAGAATGGCTAAATCAAGCTAATTAATATATCCATTACCTCATATATTTTTTGTGGTGAAAACACTTAAAATCTACTCTTAGCACTTTTTAAGTATATAATTCATTGTTACTAACTATAGTTCCCATATTGTACAATAGATCTTCTGAATTTACTTCTCCTAGTTGAAATTTTGTATCCTTTGACAAACATCTCTCCAATCCCCACCCACCTCCCCCAGACTCCTGGTAACCATCTTTCTACTCTCCACTTCTATGAGTTCAACTTTTTTGATTCCACATATTAGTAAGATCACCAACTGCATAAAATTCCAGTGGTACCTTATGGAGAACTCCAATATAAAGCAAAGAAAACAATATTTAGATCATATATATCTACTATAATCAATCAAATTCACAACATTTTTCTATTAAAATGACAGCCAGTGAGAACTAAAAATGGGAACATTCTGATAAATGTAAAACTTAAATTGAGGGTTTATGGATAACAGCTATAGTATTATTAGCCCCTGTATTCAATCTCCTTCGGAACTTGGTTTTGGTTACTTTGCATCAAGAAAACACTCATGCATACTAGAAATATGCTGTACTCCTATTATGTTCAGATCTTTGACCCACTTTGAGTTCATTTTTGTATATGATGTTTGAAGTAGATATCCAACTGTATTCTTTTGCATTTAGATGTCCAGTTGTCCCAGCACTATTTGTTGAAAAGACGATTCTCTCCCCATTGAATAGCCTTGATAATCAGGTAGAAAATCTACTGACCATATATGTAAGGGTTTATTTCTAGACTCTCAGTTCTATTTCACTGAGCTAGATGCCTGTTGTTAAGCCAGTATACTAGGGTCTTAAGTGCAGCTCTGCAGTAAGTAAAATCTGAAAGTGTGAGTCCTCCAAGTTTGTTCTTCTTTTTCCAAGTTGATCTGGCCACTCCTTGCATTTCCCATATGAATTTTAGGATCAACTTGTTAGACAGCTGAGATTTTTGATAGTGACTGAAATGAATCTATAGAGTATTGGCTTTCTAACAGTATTACTATTACATCTTTTGATCCATGACCATGGTTTGTCTTTTCATTTTTTTAATCTTCTTTAATTTCTTTAGTTTCTTCTAACAATGTTTTATAGTTTTAAATGTACAAGTTTTGCATTACTTTTGTTAAATTTATTCCCCTAAGTATTCTATTCCTTTTGAGGTTGTGTTTATAATTTCATTTTAGATGGTTCATTTTTAGCAAATAGAAATACAATTTGTTGTTGTATAGTGACCTTACATCCTATAACCTTGCTGAAGTTGGATTTTAGTTCTAACCGCATTTTTGTAGATCCCTCAGGATTTTCTACATAGAAGATCATGTCATCTGTGAAGACAGAGAGCTTTACTTATTCCTCTCCAATCCCAATCTATCTTTCCCAATCTACTGTCTCTCAATATCCCTTTCAAATGTTATACACCATTGCTTCTAAACTGAAAGGGTGCAGCAAATGAATACCTTGAAAAGGTTCTTTCTAATTCTAATGCACTCTGGAAATAAAATTAATCCTACCTACACTCTGAATTTTATACTTCTTTGCCTTTGCACAACCTCTTTTCTCCACCTGACATACATTTTCTTCCCATCTCAATATGATCAGATTATTTTCACCTTTCAAAACCTAACTCAAATCCCTTCTCCTTAATTAAGCCTTCCCTTAATCACCAACTCTTGAAAAAAGTCATCTCTCCTCTTCACAAATAAATGTCAAAAGAACTTTAACTGTAGGTTACATACAGTGCAAATGCATGAACATAATGTTAGCTCACATAATAAAGCTTTTTCTAAAGGCTACAGTTTTTAACCCATCGTGAAGTGGTTTAAGAAAATTGACCAAAGTGACAGTTGAAGCCACATTTATATATAACACCCTTTGTTGGATGGATTTCACTATCCAACAAAAGTTAGTAAAGTTAAACTTTACCATTTGGAAGACCATTTTGTTCTAACAATCTAACTTGTCATCTGCAAAACAACTACAGAAATAAACACTGTTCCAAAGAGAAGTGGGCATAAAGAAATCAAGAAAGGGGGCCTCAATGAAATTCAACAATTCCTTGACCCCATTTTTAATATTGTTCATTGAAATGTCCCTCAGAAAGTGACAGCAAATGCAACAATTGTGGGCAAAGGCTTGTGATGTTTGATATAACAGCTTGGCAAACCATCAAAGAAAGTGAGATCAGATAAAGGGGGGAAGGGCAAAAGCCAAGTCCTGCATGACAAAAGCTTGCTTTACTATTGGAATAAATTCTCCAGGTCTAAGATTACTGTTCTCAGTAAGGACTGGTGTAGACCAGGGGAAACAAATGTTCTGAGAGGCTGTATGACCTGACCAAGGTCAATAAAATGACGTTCAATAAAATATTACACCAGAACTAAAAGTCAGGACTAGATTCCTGGTCTTCTGTCTCTCGGGAGTAAATGCCTGGAAAAAACTCAAAGAGCACTGAGTTGTCAGACCATCATTTCTAATAGTAGTGATGTTAACAAATATATTGAAGAATGAAGAAACTCTTCTAGTTGTAGTTAATGGGTTGAAACAGCCACACCCCTAAGGATTCAGCATGACAGCAAATCTTTCCTTTCAAATTTATTTTTGCTGTTTGCATTTCCTGTCACAACTTGAACTGCCTTTAACAACAAACAAAAGTTTGCAAAGTATTACTCCTGACCTTTTACTTAGAATTTCTGATTTATTCCTTAAGTTTAAAAATTGGGACTACATGATAGGATGAATACATTTTTAAAAAGGACCCAATTCTTCTTTTACTTTAAGATGTTTTGTCTCTGCCCCCTTGAAAAACAGGGGCATAGACACTTCCTATTAAATGCCCATTGTTTCCAAAATTCATTCACTCGCTCAACAGATATTTATTAATTTCCTGCTATGGACTGAACATAGGGAATGCAAAATTGAGCACTGCATGAGAAGTCTATTTGGCATGTTAGAAAGGTCACCTTGGTAGCATGTGAAGAATGGATAGGGGAGAGCCTACGAGCACAGACCCAGGAATAACAACACAGGCTCTGGCAATAGCTAGATGAGATGGTAAGTGTTCCAGCCAGAACAAAGGCAGAGTGGAATGGAACAAAGATGCAATGGTGGCTGCATCTCCCAGGAGACTCCACTTTGGCCAGTATCCATGGCCATCATCACCTCGCCCCCTCTGTCCCAGCCCCTCTCATTTCAACATGCTTCCGCCAAAGCCACTGCTCAGCCTCATCCAACTGCTGTGGGCTCTTACACCTAACTTGTTAAAAGCTTTCCCTTTGCCTCTCTTTCAGTCTACAGCTATTACTAATGTAAGAATCCAACTCAAAACATTTCTCTTCCAGAAAGCCTTCCTGAATTAGTCCTGCCTGAATTTAGTCTCTTATCTGTGACAAAGGGATTTGCTAAGTATAAAAAAAGAACTTTGGCACTTACCTAAATATAAACCACACACTACAGGAATCTGAATTAATAAAGAGTTCATAGTTTTACTGTACTTATTTTTCCCCTTAAAGGAATGAAAAAGTAGTGTAAAGTGTGTAGGAGGGAAAGGGAGGGGAGAGAGAAAAAGAGTTTCACACTCATGGGAAATGTATGTCCTTTTTGGGGGGTGTCTATTTATATCCCATTAGAAGTCACCCTTTTCTACCGGGAATCTTACCTGCTGCCTTGTGTATTTGGTCAGATTCCTAACAAATTGTGTTTCCTGTGGTTTAGTAAAGATGCTTTTCCACGATGAAATTCAAACCCACTGATTTTTTAAAATATTTTTTTCTTTTGGTTTAATATACTGAGAAAGAAAGGGATACTTTTGAATGTTAACAAGATCAATTTTAGGAGTTCTTTGCGTTGTATATTAAATAGCCATCTGTTTCTAGAACACAGGGATAGGTCTGTAATAAAATAAAATGGAATTTTAAAAATTTCTTCAAATCATGTGGGAATGAGCCTGCTCCATAGACTGGTTTATAGAAAAACCATGGCCTTTCTAAGAACAATCCTGTTTGAAGACCAATAAAGGAAACAGATTTTCTTCCACTCTGGCTAGCAAACTCCTTAAAAGAAAATGGTTCAAGAAAAAAAAATAATAAGAACTGTTTGGCACATCTACTGCAGACTCATCACTGGAAACTGAAATTTGAAGCAAATAAAACAGTTTTTCAAAAGGGATTCTGAGCAACAGGACGTAGGTTTTCCCAGACAATATGACTGTCACATCTACCCCCAGATTCTTCAAGACAACCACGATTATGGATTCTATACACACACATTTCCTAGAACTGAGGCCCAGTTGTTTTTAGAAAAAGGCGTTTTGTTTTTTCTTGCATTGTTTTGTTGCCACTAGATTATAAACTCCAGAAGGCAAGAACTTTGCCTGCTTTCCTTACCATTATATCCACAGAGCCTACAGCAATAGTACCTAGCAAAATGGAAATCTGTTGAACCAATGAATTAAGAATGTCCTATAACCAACAGGATAGTATTTAATAGAACTTCAAGACAGAAACAAAAAGCAGCAGCCTCCTTAAACACAAGCAAAATACTGCGTATTAGTATCATTCAAGTTCCACCCCCTGCTCCTAAATACAGGCTTAAATAGAATGCTAGAAACACAAAGGTACTTCTCAACTTGAGAGCTAGCTCATTCATTCATTTTTTTCAGCCAACATTTATTGTGCGCCAAGTATGTGCCAAGTACAGGAGAAAAGAGCAACAGACAAGGCTAACATGGCTCTTGCCATCAACGAGCTTATAATCCGGCAACTCCATCTACACACACTGCCTGCCAATAAATAAAGTCCAGGCAGTGGTAAAGTTCAATGGAGACAATCTTGGCCAGTTCTAGAATTTAGCATCATCCTATATGAGTTATTACAACCAAGCATAAATTTCTCAGTTGATTTCTTTCTAAACACTATACTGTTCAATATGGTAGCCACATATGCATACAGCTATTTAAATTTATATTAGTTAAAATTTAATAAAATTGAATATTCAGTTCCTCAATGTTCCACACCATATGTAGCTGGTGGCTTCCATACTGAACTATACAGACATAGAATGTTTCCATCATCACAGAAAGTTCTATTTGAACATGCTGTCCAAGAGCCTACCTACTCAGAATAGCCTTGAGACAGCAGCAGAGCTATCACCCAGGAGGCTTGTTAGAAATACAGACTCTCCGACACCAGCCCAGACCTTCCCAATCAGAATCTTGTTGGTTTCTAACAGGAAGTCCAGATGACTCACATACACATTAAAATATGAGACATACCACTCCAGAAAAATATATCTAGAAGTTGTTCTGACTACATTTAAATGGCTACTTTATCTTAAAAGATATCACAAGTTCGTCCCTCCTAACCAAAAGCTCCAACTGTTCAATCAAATAAACAATTTTAAAAAGTTCCAAGAAAACATATAATCTCTCATTCTTATGAAGAGAGAGGCTTGATCATTCTAGTCTGGGTTTGCACACTAATTAGCAAGTACCCTGGGAACCTTTTCAAGAGAGGAAGAGAATTGCCTCTACTGTAATATAACCTCTTCTTGATTTTATAACACATAGTAAATTTTGCTCACAATGAATGGTCAAGTGACTCTACACTTGTGCAAAAAGAACATAAAATAATAAAATAACTACAAATGTAAAATTGACCATTAGTGAAAGCCTATACATTAATATCTGTACATAACCTTAAAGAAATTATTAATGCATTGGAGCTTAAAAGAAAAGAGCTCAGGGAAAGGCAAAGCCTTTCAATTTTTAAAAACCAGAACATTTTCCCAGAGCTTTAATGTTCATGTCTTTGGAGGTATTGTAAACTAAAAACACATGTGAAAATTCAGTCTGATAAGGTACTATCGAGAGTGTACTTAGGGTCTACAATCTATTCTATTTTCTATGAATATAGTTCATCAGATTTTTAATTCTTTATAAATCATGGCTAACCTAGCCACTAAAAATTTGTTTTCCCTCCTTTCCACATGAGTTGTTCATAAATGCAATGATGTCCTTGGTGTTCTCTGTTGTCTAATGAAGATCAGTTAGCAAACACCTTAAAATTCTTAAATTATTTTAACACTATAAAATTTACAGAAGCAAGTTCAAAAATACATTCTCCTTGACTTGTCAGAAAGGAATTCAGTCCCAAAGACAAGGAGGTAAAGAGTGCCTGCTTTGATACTGCCCAAAGTGATTTACAGATTCAATGTAACTCCCATCAAAATACTAATGTCAAATTTCACAGATCTACAACAAATAATCCTACGCTTCATTTGGAACGAAAAAAAGAGCCTGAATAGCCAATGCAATCTTAAGCAAAAAGAACAAATCTGGAGGCATCACATTACCTGACTTCAAATTATACTATAAGTCTACAGTAACCTAAACAGCATGATACTGGCATAAAAGTAGAGAAATACATCAATGGAACAGAATAGAGAACCTACATATAAAACCATCTATCTATAACTAACTGATCTTCGATAAAGCAGATAAAAACATACACTGGGGAAAGGAAGCCCTATTCAATAAATGGTACTGGGAAAACTGAATAGCCAAATACAGAAGAATGAAACAGGACCCCTATTTCTTATCATATACAAAAATTAATTCAAGATGGATAAAAGACTTAAATGTAACACATGAAACCATAAAAATTCTAGAATAAGACATAGGAAAAACTCTTCTAGACATTAGACAACGAATTTATGACTAAGTACTCAAAGGCAAATTCAGCAACTATAAAAATAAATAAATGGGGCTTAATTAAAAATCAAAGGAAATCATCAACAGAGTGAACAGAAAATCTACAGAATGGGAGAAAATATTCACAAACTATACATCGGACAAAGGACTAATATCCAGAATCTACAATGAACTCAAACAAATCAGCAATAAATAACAACCCCATCAAAAAGTGGGCAAATGACATGAACAGAAGTTTTTTTGAAAAAAGACAAATAGCCAACAAGAATATGAAAAAATGCTCAACATCACTAATCATTAGGGAAATGCAAATTAAAACTATGAGATACCCCCATGAGAATGGCCATTATTAAAAGCAATAGATGCCAGCTTGGATGCAGAGAGAAAGGAACACTTAATAAACTGTTGGTGGGACTTCAAATTAGCACAAGCTCTATGGAAAACAGTATGGAGATTCCTTAAAGAACTAAATGTAGATCTACCATTCAATCCAGCAATCATACTGCTGGTTATCTATCCAAAGGAAAAGAGGTCATTTTATAAAAAAGACACCTGCACTCGAATGTTTATCGCAGCACAACTCGTGATTGCAAAGATGTGGAATTAACTTATGTGCCCATCAATTCACAAGTGAATAAAGAAATTGTGGTGTATATATACTCAGCCATAAGAAAAGAATGAAATAATGTCTTTTACAGCAACCTGGATAGAACTGGAAACCATTATTCTAAGTGAAGTTTCTCAGGAACAAAAAACCAAACACCACGTTCCCATTAATAAGTGGGAGCTACACGATAGGCAAACACAGGCACAAATGACACTGGAAACTCAGAAGCAGGGACAGTGGGAGGTGGGGTGAGGATTTATTAAAAACTTACCTATCGGGTACAATGAACACTATTCTAGTGTCAGGCACACTAAAAACCCTATCTTAAACATTATGAAAATTATCCATGTAATAAAAATATTGGTACCCCCGTAATATTTTGAAATTCTTTTATAAAAGGGGTGAGGACAGTGACTACTTTGATCCCTTAGTCTGAAATTTCACAAATCAATAACATTGGAAGACAAATGCCTAATTTACAAAGCAAGTATCAAAGGCAAACCTTGCAGAGTTTAAAATAAATCTCAAATGTACTTTACCTATAACTAATAATCCTTAACTGTAAATGATAATGACCAATGCTTTTAGGTTTATTAATCAATAAACCTCTCCAACAACACAGTGATGCATGGCTGAAATTTGCAATGCAATAGAAAAAAATTATGGAAACAAAATAAACAACAACAACAACAAAAACAAAAACAGGAGGATAACCTAATCAATTTTACCTAGCAAGGGAAAATGTATTTGGTATGATAAAAATAACAGAAAAAGAACATAAGTAATGGGAATTTACTAAATGAGTAATCTAAGTGTATTATATTTGGGGACATGCTCTTCACCCTAATAAAAGTCACACTTTGGAGAAGGCTATAGTATGTAGTCTAGGATGCTGGCTATTGTCTGGACACTGACAACTCTTTAAAAGCACAGATATTTAAGGTATTTACATTCTGCAAAAGCCAGGAAAAGGCCTGCCAATCACTACACAAGCTTTTAACATGTGCACATGAACCGAGAATGTTCCATTAATTGGACACTGTTTCCCCAAGTGATTAATAGTTACAGCTGTGCTTACCGCAAACTAAATTTCACATACTAATGATTCCGAACCCAATTTTTCTCATTCAGTTCTAACCCCTAGAGAAATGATCCTAACTTATCATTCCAGGCAATTTCAGAAGCAGCTCTGGAAGCTAAGGAGTGGCATCACACACGGCACACAGACGGGAAGACGAGTGAGACAAGGGACAGCCCATCAGTTTCAAACCAAAGTGTCTGCAACTGTGCAGAGTGCTGTGACGCCTCCTGCACAAGAAACACTCAGCTGTAAGAGCCGAATGTGAGCTCATCCTTAAAGTCCTTGTTTTTCAAAGCTGCTTTCTTTTTTTCCAACCGGTAGGATTCCGTATTTTTGTCTTTCATCCACCTCTCATAATTTCTGGTTTTTATATCCACATATTGTGCTTTCTCCTTTCTGCCTTATCTCTTCTGATCAGATGCATTCCTCTGATTTCATCCATTCTGTCCATTTTCCATGAAATACTACTTCTTCCTGTTTGGGAATCCGTACTTTTCAAAATCCAGCTTTAAAATGTCTCTCTCTTTGCTGACTCTTGAGTTTTTAGTTTTAAAAAGCAAAAAAAGTTTTAAACTAAACTTACAAGTAACTTCAGTCTCATTCCCAGCAAGCTTTCTTCTGTTAAAGTTAATTAGCATGGGCATGGTAACATTTATATAAAAGTTTTCCTATATAAAATATTTTATGAAATGTTTTAATATTTAAGAAACTGATTGTTCAAAATACTATACAATTCTTTAAAAAATAACTATGAATGCCATGCAGCTACAGTGCTTAGCAGTGATGATCAGCTACAGCTGGGGACTTCTCTAAACTGCTGTCTGTGAAGACAGATGTTAGGTGCGTGGTAAACAAGCAACCTCGCTAAGCCACCAGTGTATAACCAGTCTCAGATGATCCACATTAGCATTTAGGAGTTTTCATGCTCAATAACAGACCCACAGTTTTACTAAGGATTCATACTACAAACTGACATGAACAATAATACTAAGTAAATCTAAATGTACACATTTTACAGAAAGTTGAAAATCAGTTTCCCTGGTGAGAGAGAAATAAATCTTGAATTACTATAAAAGTGACACTTTGAACAGACATGTAAACTTGGATACCTGGTACAAACTTGCAGTAGAGATTCTACCTCAGCCTCAACTACAGTGTTTACAGAAGATTTTTGGTGCTACCTCTGAGCTAACCTTATTCTCTTCTAGGCTATTCTGATACTGAGCCATGTTTCGGGCATGCAGATGGAAAGGAGTTAGAGCTCTTTAAGAGAAACTCCTCCCCTATTCCCATCCAGCACCACAATATTATGTCTTTCTAAAACTACAGGGGTAGCCTATTTTCTCTCTTTCTGCCTACATAATATATCACAAACAGGGAAAAGAAATAGGGTGATAGAATTCTGTGTTCCCAGGAAAGCTGGTTGGGGGAAAATGCAAGGAAGTAAGATTACAGGTAAGAATAATATTCTGCTTTCTATATGAAAATAAAAATTTTGGAAAATTCAGTGTCAGATGCTAAAACAAACATTCCAGGTTAAAGCCAGGTGAGGTACGGGGCAAAGGCATTCGGAGTGCAGGTGGCATCTTTCTGAAGAGTGGGGAATTAGAGAACAGTTGGTGTGAGCATCCCTGAATAAATGCAGTATGCTCCTCTCCGTGTCAGGATTCTGCAAACCTGGTCGAGCCCCAGGAGTCTCTTACTGGGATGCTCAAAAGACAAGACTAGTAAGCAAAAGCAGTCAATAATACAGACGGATCATTTCACAGCAGCATTTACAAGAGATAGATATATAAAAATATATTTGCCTGCATAGACCTACAAATAGAGGTTACTCACAGAGATTACTGTAGCTCCAGCAGTTACCCATTGATCATAGAAAATGCCCAGTTCATCAGTTTAACGCTTGAGAAAAGTTAGCTAGAAAAAGAAGCAAGCCAATTCAAAATATGCTGTTCTAGTCAACTGGAAGCAAATTAGTTTCAAATTTCCTGGCAGCCCCTTTTGCCCTGCACTGCACGGCCGTGATGTAAATGGAAGCACTTTGAGCACTTGGAACCCGAGCCGAGAGAGGAGCTGCTGCCTCCGTCCCTCTCACAAAGGCGGAAGCAGCCTGTTCTCTCGCGGGCTCTCCCTCTCTCTGCCTCGGTTGCTCTCTAGCCTGGTAGCTTACCGAGAACAGCCACCGTAGGGCTTTTCTATATTTGTGAAAACTACTTCCAAGGAGATAATTGAGATGCCGGGGAGTTAGCTTTAATGTAACCATTTCCCCAGTGCAGCCGCAGGAAGCCCAGCAGAGGTTTGGAGAGGATTGTACCATCCTTGGTGACATCAGAGGTGGGGCTGTCATCTTAGTATTATGCAGCATTTTCTCTCATGCAAGAATGACACATGTGAAAGGGCATGGGTGGGTTCCCTTTAAAAAGGGTTTAATCCTTGTGTTATTCAGATTAAAAAGGCGAATGCAAATATACTGTTCAAAAGCTGCTGCAGAATGACATAAATCCTGCTTTGCCAGTCCTTATCTCACTACTAAGTGACGCTGCCATCTAAAGTCATTTTCTGATGATTACATGACTGTTCCCGAGATTGAATTAATATTTAATGGGTGATTGCTGTTACTTGGAAATGTGACACGAAAAGATTCATGCATTAACATCTATTTTAAAATACAATGGCATAAACTTTTCTATGACTAATAGTGCCTCGGACGTACATCATATCTTTCAACACAATCTCTGTTAAAACACTAAATGTAAAAACTAATAGTTTTATAGATGAGAAAGGTGAGGTGAGGTGAAAAGTAGCACAAGATGAGTAACATAATGTAATATTATTGGTCTTTTATCTTGATAATAGCTATTAATACAAGTATTAAAAATAATTCATTTTTACAATGCTAATATTTCAACTAGTATGAAAAGCATAGGCAAACAATACAAACCAACTCACAGTTATTTTCATTCATTCCATATACATTTACTGAGTGCCAAACATGTGCTAGAAAAATGTATTAGGTTAAATTTGGAGTGGACATTTCTGGTAAGTAGTAATATAATCAGAACAGAAAATGTTTACTTATGTGCCAGACATTGCACTAAGCAGTTTTATTATATTAGCTCTTCTATTCCTACCAGCAGCCCTGTGGAATAGCTACTATTATTAACCCATTAATAGATGAGACTATCAAAACACAAGATAGGTGTCTTGTCTAAGACACATCAATAAAACTGGCACAACCAGGATTCGAACACAGGCAATGGCTGTGTTTCAATGGCTCTGAAGTCCACTCTCTCTACCAACTAAGCTATACTGCCTCAGCCTCCTGAGGGAGCTGTGCCAAATAGAAGAATTCTAAAGGAATAATATAATTTTCAGGATTTAGAATCACAAAAATGTCTACCTCTCAAGAAGACTGGCTCCAATAAAAAGAGGCAAAGGCTTAGAGAGTGCACTGGAAAAAGTATACCAGGACAGTGGAAGTAATGCCCCAAAGCAGAAGTTTAGTGCTGACTGACCTTAGGCCAATGGCTTAAAACCTTTCAGCTTTAGTTTCCTCATCTCTGAGATATACATGTTTCAATTATAGATCGGTATAATTATGTGGGTAGAGCACACAATTTAGACTTGTAACCTGGATTGCATCACTTTCCAATTATGTCATCTTGCCCAAGTTATTTGACCTCTGTGGGCCTCAATTTCTTCATCTGAAAAAGTGGTAATAATGATGGGATTGTTCTGAGGATTAAATGAACTAAGCATATAAATAAAGTGCTCAGTAGCAACTAGTATATAAGCTCAAGGTTAATTATTATGATTATTACTATAATTGTCATTACTTCTAGTATTACTACTTTATTTTTAACTGACATTGCCTACTTCCTCACTTTTCAAAACCCTCCCAAAGAAGAGCTGCTATTTTTTAATTCTTGGTTGGGGAAGCAGAAAGGACAATTTTTGCTGACTTCATACAAACATTAACCAGTCCATGAATCACCAATGCCCTATGAGATATAAGCTGAAGTTGTCGGGTATGCCTTCCAAGAAGGCACCTTACAAGGGGAATAGAAAAAGATATTCACCCTTTTTTTTTCTTTTTAAGAGGCAATGTTTCACTTTATCACCCAAGCTGGAGTACAGTGGCACAATCATAGCTCACTGCAGCCTTGTACTCCTGGACTCAACCATTCCTCCGGCCTTAGTTGTGCCACCACATCCAGCTAATTTTTTGTTGTTGTTTTGTAGAAACAGGGGTCTCACTATATTGCTCCGGATGGTCTTGAACTCCTGAGCTCAAGCTGTCCTCCCACTTTGGCCTCCCAAAGTGCTAGGATTACAGGTGTGAGCCACCACGCCCAGCCAGTATGGACCCTTTTGCTCTCTTTCTTATGCCTGGAATACGGCAGGGGGAGCCCAGGTGGAAGCATCCATCCTAACTTTAAGCATCCCACCAGCTAGGGAGGCACAGCAGGAGGAAAGAGCCCCACACCCACCACAAACTTCCCATCCGCTGTCTTCTTTTATATGGAAGAGAAATAAACCTCTAGGTGAAGTTATTTAATTCAAGTTTTCCAAATGTCTAGCATTTAGCATCAGGTTTTAGTTAACACTTTCCTTGACTGATGCCCTAAAAACTCACTATTTCAAAAAGTAAAGCTCAAAAATAAACTTGTTACATATTCTCTAGTCCTTCATGGGCACCACCTCTAAAAATATGTTTACAGAAACAGCACTTGGCTAGCAGTGTCATCGTGAAGTCCTCAATTGTTTTGTTTTGTATTGACTATAGGCTCTTCTTCTTTGCATTCTTGATGCTATGCCATTTGGGGCCTTGATTCTCAAGAGACTGCCTCTCCCAGGGCTAGCTAATTCCTAGAGATAGAAAAGATCCCCCTGTGCACATGCCTTTGATAGACAAACCAATCAATCCATAGCCACACCCCCAACCATCTCCTTTATGGAGTTCTCACTTATTTCCCCTGTCCTACATCACCCCAGAGCCAGGTGCTAGACATCTGGGGAGCATCCCTACAGTCCAGAGCATGCCCAAATTATTCAAACTAGTCAATCCTAAACTTACTCAGCTTGCCTACCCTGCCTGGCCCATTGCTTCCTGCAAAACCCCCAATAAAGGCTCTGGACCATACTCTCCCCACTCTCCCCTCTCTGGCTCCTGACCAACCCTGGCTTCCCTGTACTGCCCCCATGTGGCTCTGTGTAGTGTGCTGTGTCTCCAGTTTCAAGGAATCTGTGAGTATAAAATTCCTTCATGGGAGTAATTTCTGTGTCTATACCTCTTACCATACTTGATTAAAATAAATCCCAAGTACAAAAACAAATAATTACTCATTCATTAGGAACAAAATTTCAAATCAGTAACATTTCCAGATTTTAATGTCACCAACATTTTGCCTTTTAGTTTGGAAATGACAAGCTACAGGTTAATAAATTTTTTATATAATGTGTTATATCTCAAAATGTTTCAAATAAACACAAACAGGAAAGCAAGCTAATTATTATTATCCAAGTTAGTATGAGATTTTAAAATTACAACTTTTTCACAAATCGAGACTGACTATATACCAATTTTTATCACCATAGCATCCTGTATTTTAACTGCATCCTTGAAAACATCCTTTTATTAATTAACTCAATGTAGAAGACAATAAGATTATCAAAGGAGCTGGTAACAATAATTCCTTATGTGAAATAACTTTCATTGAGCCAGTTTCAATAAATAAGAAATCAGTTTTCCTAGCTGAAATTGATTTATTTTCTCAGTCTGGTTCTTAGATCTTAAAAAATATTCAATGACAACTTAATTATAAAAATTTATTTTTTATATATTAGTCTGCTATGTCCATTATAAGATACATCTAAATGTTTAAGCTTAATATAGAGAGATAATCAGAATTCCAGAAGATATAACATGAAATATATCCAAGTGAGCAGAGAGGAAAGATGTTGAGATGCCAGAACTGGTAATAATGATAGTCACGCTGGAGCTCCATACCCTGAAACACTATTTAAAAAAAAACAAAAAAAACAGAAACAAAAAAAAGTGAAATTTAACTTATAAGGAGTATACGTACAATCCTCCTAGCAAGCTTTTTGGGAAGAATACATTATAAAAAGTTTGTATGCTTGAACCATCATATCCAATAAAGACATAATTAAAAGTCATCTGCAAAACTATACAATTTTTCCAGCACAACCTGACAAATGACCACAGTCAGCTGACCTAATGGCCTTGAGATGGTGAGCTTGCTCCCTCTCTGAGCACAGAACAGATGTGTTCTCTGCAACATAGACTGCATTGCGGGTGGGCGGGGAAGGGAGGAAAAAAAGAGAGAAGAGGAGGAGAGCGAAGGAAGTCACAGCTGACACTTAGGGATTTCTATGTTCCATGGACTGAGCAAGATACTTTTCACTTCTCAGGCCTCCCCATCACCTTCCAAGAAACTGCCAACTACATGGTCAGCCCCCAACCCAGCCCGTGATGGGAAGGAAAGCTCCAAGAGAGCAGGAAGCAGATCTCATAGCAGGTCTCTTTGTTAGTGCCATTAACCCAGAACTTACCACCATATAGTGCTTACTACATAGTAGATGGCCAATTAATGATTTCATTTAATCCTTAAAACCTAAGAAGTAGATACCAGGTATACCTAAACACAAAGCAACCCTAAGTAACTATTAGGTCATCCATAAATTTCAATGGAATAAAAAGTTATTGGCCACACTGAATATATGTTTTTAGAACGCAGATGAAATACTCAAACAGCTCCTTATAATATTTCCTTTAGTATGTTAATTTCCACATATAAAAATTATATACTACATAAAACAATAAAATACTAGTTTTTATTCACTTACGTTTTGGGAAATGATTTCATTTAAGCTTTTCACATGTAATCTGTCATAAGGATCTCTGCTACCATGAGAGTCTCATTATCTCACATCTTCCGTTCTGTCTTAAGATATGTGAGATGCAGTAATTTTTAAATGTGTGATAGCGTAACTGGATATTCTATCCTAATTTACAGTATCCATTCACGAGAAATGATATCCGCATCAATTACCGGACATATGACCTATAAAAGTCATCTTTAAAAAACAAGTTTATAGTGACAGCCAACACTTTCAAGTCTGAGAACATTTCCCCAGGAATAACTACTAAATGTGTATTCAATTTGTTTTCTCCTTCCTTTTTAACCTGTTTTATGATCTCCATAAGCATTCCAAACTGGCATTATGTGGTTATGTGAAACTAATGTGTTTTCTCCAAAGAGTTCTTTGTTATACTCAAAATAATCAAACGAGTATCCCTAATATAGAAAACTTTAAGACCTTGAATATAAGGCCACTTCTCCCTTACTGATTTTTTTTTTGCAAGAAACACCCTTACCCTAATTTTGGGGTGTGCAGAGTATTAATTCTTTTTTACAGATGAGGAATACAGAGACAGTCTAAGCAACATGGCCAATACACAATCAGAAGATAAAGAGAACAAGTAACATCCCTCAAACCAAAATTTGTTTTTAAAAAAAAAAAGGGAGGGAATTTAGTTGGCAGCCCATGTGTGAATACACAGAAGTGCAGAAGGCAGCAAACAAAGCTACTATTTTACATCAGGCTGCATTTCTTTCCTGTATTTTATTCAAGCACAATTTTGGAAGTTTAATTTTTATTTCCTTGTTGATTGTTTATATTAACTTATTTATAATCATGCTAATATGTATTTTCTATTAATCTAAATCACATAAACATTTTTCATGAACACACAATATACTATTAGTAAGATAATTTAGTTATTGTTGAGTAGTCTGGTTATTTCCAATATTATCCTAAGTTAATTCTTATATGGATAACTGGCTAATTAATATGATTCAGAATGTAATCAAAATATACGCCCCGCTGACCCAAATGAAATGCCCAGGATGTGATTTGTATCTGTTTTCGGCACTTTTGTATCCCCATGTCATTGAGACCCTCAAAATACACAAAATCAAACTGCAACGCAGGTCAAGATGGCATAAAACTCAGGTTACAGACAAGGAGAATTTTTACAGCCAGTTGGGAAACTGCTTTCCGTCTGTGCTGGGCCTAGGATGGAATTAGAACCCAAGTATGCTTGGACAGGAAAGCAAGCAGAGGCTTAGGCTCAAGCCTTAAGTGGTTGACCTTATGCAGGGTCTATATATTCCCAAAGATAAAACAAGAGGCTTTTCTGGAAGGGCTTGAATCTCCCTAAAAGTAAAAAGGTTAGTAAGCATCCAAATGGCATTTAAGTTGGCAACAGGAACCAGCCGGAAGGACACCACTATAAGCTATATTTATCAATTTTTGGCTAGCCTTTGGTTAAATTAGGAGCACAATTCTCCATTCTATAAACTCTTTTAATTTTTTTTGCTGTTTCTTTTTATTTTCTTTCTTTATCCCTTTCTTCCAGTAAAAGCTCTCTTCAGAAACTCTCATCTCAATTATGTTACAGCAAAATACAGTGTTCCACCTCTCTGTGCAGACAAATAAGAGCAAAGGTATGCTAGATGGAAGGGAAGCAGGACCAGAACAACTGGACACCCAGGCCTAGGAGCAGAGCACAGTCTGGTGAGCCAAGGGATGGGGGGAATAAAGAATTTCTTTTAGAATTTCTCTATCCCACTGGCTCGCCTGGCAATATGGTATACTAGCTGTGGCTCCGCCACTGCCACCATTCTGCCCCTGTCTTGGGCCTGCTGCACTGCTTCTCCTGCCCTTTAATTACAGGTGCACTACCAGGGATTAGTTCTCAGCCTGCTGCGCTTCTCATTTCGTATTCTTTGCCTTTTAAAGTGCATGAGCTTAGAAGAAATATCTATCATCTAACAGACAAACTGGTGTGGTGCAAAAAGTATTCTAAGTGAGTTAATACACAGAAAGTGCTTAAAAAAGTGCCCAGCACATAGAAGATATTCAGTAAGAACCAGCTGATATGGCTACTACTGGGAACCAGCCTTTGTTGCATTACTTACCATGTGATTTGGGCAAGTAATTTTGCCATTCTTTCCCAGCTTTTTGTACTCAATACAAAGCACTTTTGTACTTTCAGCCTTTTGTATAATTAATTTTGAACGTAATTCAAACAATAGCTGTAGGCAAACAAGATGCTTGCTATACAAGGTTGTTGTAAGATTAAAATGACAGAGGTCACATGAAAACCTCAAAATGACATTTAAATGTAAGGCTCTACACTGATAATTACTGACATCTCCCCTAAGCTTCAGTCTACCCCACACTTCTGTTGAGTGGGAAGAACTCACTAAACAGAGACCATTATGTAGAAAAAGTGACAGATGTCAATGATTTAGTCAATTCAGAAGCAACTGCGTAAATCAGCCAGAACAGACATCTGAGGCAGGGGTCTAAACTTGAACTGGGATAAAAGAACAAGGGAAGAAGAAAACAAGATAAACTTTAGATCAGTTTGTATTCTTTTAACCACAAGAGTGAAGAAAGCCAAATACAAAAGAAATCTTACAAAGTGGAGTTAAAGGTCTCAAAGCAACATTCCATCTGTCTTGGCAATAGAAACCGCCATCTTACGATAATGACAACATAATGAGAAAAAAATATATAAAGTAAACCATAACTAGGAGCAGCTCACACACAGTCTAGTTAGCTCACCTTGCAGGGAGGTCTAAGGAGTAGTCTAGAAGGGACAGGTGTCTCATGAATGAAAGGGAAGAATCTGAGTTTTGTATGAAGGGTTACCCTGAGCCTGTGCTCAGAGAGTTTTGGGGAACTCTGCCCTGTATGTCTCCCACAGACAGTAGTCAAGTCATTGCCAGTAATAAATCATGCTGCAATAAATCCTCATATCCACGTGATCTCACAAGGCCAACCCACTGCAATCACTTTTTGAAAGGTAACACTGGACAGGAGGAAACCTGAACAGAGGAGAAAGGGATTCTCATTTTCCTAGAATCCTGTACAGGGTCTGAGCAATCAAGGCAGCCTACTCTCTCAACTGTGCCCTGTACCCATCATCCCCCAGAAAGCTGGCTATGTCCAGAGAGCCAGAGTAAAGCAAAGAGTCAACAATTCCTAACTGGCAGATGCTCCATGTCACACTTTCAGCATGTCAAAACCACAGTGACTGCCTTCCCTGAAAAACTAGCTCCTCCTGGAGAATTCCTATTTCAGCTGCATCATTAACATCTCCTGTCACTTTACTGCCAAACTTCAGAGTCGTCATGTCTCCCCATATCTACAGTCACTGAGACTATCATTACTTTCTGAAAGTGTCATGCATTTATGCATTTCTATTCCTATTACCATCTCTTCTCTAGAGCGTATACTATTACTTTCAGAATTAACTACTGGTCCTAACAAGCCTACCCTCCTCAACACTAATTTATATCTTCCAATCCACTATAAGCAAGTTTGCTAAATTAATCTTCCTAAAACTTTTATTTCTGACAAAACTATAAAATAAATTGGTTTTGGCTTTTATTATTATTTTTAATTTACACATACTAATTATACATATTTATGGGCTAGTGTGATACTTTGATACATGTATATGATGTATAATGATCAAATCAGAGTAATTAGCATGTCCATCACCTCACATTTCTTTGTGCTGAAAACATTCAAAATCTACTCTTATATTTAAAAATATACAATAAATTGTTATTATACTCACTCTATACTGCTATAGAATATTAGAACTTATTCCTCCTCTCTAGCTGTACTTGTGTATCTCTTAAGTAACCTTTGGCTATCCTCCATTCCCCCTACTTTCCTATCCAGTAACTACTATTCTACTCTCTACTGCTATAAAATCAACTTTTTTAGCTTCTACATATGGGTGAGAACATGCGGTATTTATCTTTTTATGCCTGGCTTATTTCACTTAACATAATGTCCCCCAGCTAGCTCCTCCATGTTGCCACAAGTAACAGAATTTCATTCTTTGTTATCACTAAAGAGTATTCTATTGTGTGTATCTACCACATTTTCTTTTTCTGTCCATCTGTTGATGGACACTTAGGTAGATTCTGTATCTTGATTATTGTGAACAGTGCTGCCATAAACATGGGAGTGCTGATATCTCCTCAACCTACTGACTTCCTTTTCTTTGGATATATATTAAGTAGTAGGATTGCTGGATAATATGATAGGTCTATTTTTAGTTTTTGAGAAACCTCCATATTGTTTTCCCTTAATGGCTATAGTAATTTACATTTCTACCAACAAGGCATAAGAGTTTCCCTTTCTCTAACTCCTTGCCAGCATTTATAAGCTTTGGTTTTTTGACAATAGCCATTCCAACCAGGGTAAGTGACATCACACTGTGGTTTTGATTTGCATTTCCCTAATGATTACTGATGTTCAGCATTTTTAGATATACCTGTTGACCACCTGTATGTCTTCTCTTGAGATATGTCTATTTAATTCAATTCCCCATTTTCTAATCATTGTTTTTTTCCTGTTGATCCATTTGAGTTCCTTGTATATTCTGGATAGTAATTCCTTGTTAAACAAATAGTTTGCAAATATTTTTTCCCATTCTTCAGGTTGTCTCCTCACTTTGTTTCCTCAGCTTATAGAAGCTTTTTAGTTTGATATAATCCCATTTGTCTCTTTTTGCCTTTGTTGCTTGTGTTTTTAAGGTCTTCTCTATAAAATGTTTGCCTAGATCAATCTCTTGAAACATTTCCCCTATGTCTTCTTCTAATATAATAGTTTCATAGTTTTGGGTCTAAAATTTCAGTCTTTAATCCATTTTCAGTTGATTTTTATTAATATATATATAGTGAGAAATAGGGGTCTAGTTTCATTCTTCTTCATACGGATATCCAGTTTTCCCAGCACCATTTATTGAAGAGACTTTTCCTTACCCAGTCAATGTTCTTAGAGGCTTTCTCAAAAATTAATTGGATATAAATATGTGGATTCATTTCTGGGTTGTTCATTCTGTGTGTGTGTGTGTGTGTGTGTGTGTGTGTGCGTTTATACCAGTAAAATGCTGTTTTAGTTACTATAGTTTTATAGTATATTTTGGAGTCAGGTAGTGTGGAATTGTTCTACAGAATAGGACATTTTCATCTGCAATAAAAACCTGCCCAGGCATTTATCCTTTTTCCTTAATAATTTTCTTAACAGTGTCTGGGAACTAGTCTGCTGCATCGGTCAGCAGAAGCTACTTTTTTAGCTGAACCTCTCTCTAAAATTATCAAACCATCCTTTGCTAGCATTACATTCTCCAGGTGTGATCTGTCACCTTCCTTTTGCTTTATGTTGTCATACACTAATTTTCCTTTTTCTTGAATCATCATAAAGTTGACAAGTATGCCTTTTTTATAGCTATCCTGCATCCACATAAAAGCTACATTTTCAATATGAGATAAAAAGGTATTTCTCAAAAATGTTCAGGTTTTTGTGCCTGCTGGGAGAGCAGTGGCAATGACTCCATGAATTTCCATTTCATTTTTACAATGGTACACATGCTACTAGATTCTTTTATCTTGAAATGGCAGGCAATTGTAGCTGCAGAACTCAATCTTTGGTACATACCAAGCAATTCAACTTCTTGTAATGTCATGACTTTTCTCTACTTCTTGGGAGCATTTCCAGTATCACCAGTGGCACTTTTTATGGGTTCCATCATGTTATTCAAGGTTACAATATTGTACTCAACATGATGAAAACTATGCGAGAATTGTAAGAGATCACTTTTTAATATGATACATAATTTACTGGACAAACTGCTCATGCAGAGCTGATTAGCATCACATGGAGTTTTAAGCAGACATGTGCAACACTTGAGCTCACTGAAATAGCAATAGCAGGTGGCTATGAAATTATTATAGTATAAATGTACTACAGTTAATTTTATGCAGTTATGATTGAATACTGTGTCTTTATGCTTGTTTATATTTCTTTTGACTGTGAATGGCACCATATACAGTCTGTGTTTGTGTGTATAAGTTTTAATATATTTTAACCTTTTAGACTTGTGTATTTTATGGTGGTAAATGATAAACCAGTATCTACATATATTTATACATTCATGTCTTAACTCACTTTTTATTAATTTTTTCAATATTTCCAGGCTACATGATTTGTCTGCGAGCTTTGTCAAATTGTCATAAATCTCCAAAAATATTAAACAATATATTTATTGAAAAAATCTGCATATAAGTAGACCTGCATAGATCAAAACCTGTGTTTTTCAAGAGTCAGCAGGTAAAGTGAGTTTCTTGTAGGCAGCATACAGTTCGGTCATGTTTTCTTTATCCATTGAACCAGTCTATTACCTTTTAAGTGGGAAATTTAAACGATTTACATTCAACATTATTACTGATAGGTGAGAACTTATTCCTATCATTTTGCTAACTATTTTTAGGTTGCTTACATATCCTTCATTCCTTTCTTCCTCTCTTATTATTTATCATTGCATTTTAGAGGTTTTCTATAGTGATAAGTTTTGATTCTTTTCTCTTTCTCCTTTGTGCCATGAAATCACTATTTGTAATTCCTATTCTGGCAATTTGTTGATTTCATTTTCATTGGCGTCTGTTACTGGAGAGAGATGTTCCTTTGGTGGTGTCAGATTTCCTTGC